ATATAAAGAGTTTAAATAAATATAACCACAGGGACGCCATAGTGAGTGATGCAAGGGCCATCAGATTGCTACAATCATTCACACAGTACACATGAATAACCCATTACTCAAAAGTTACCCAAATGCTTCTAAAAGAGCCCAGAAGAAGTCTGATAGCACCTTTTCCGCTAATAAAATTTATGAAAAAGTGTAAGTTTCTGTGAGCTGCGGTCCCATCCCTATAATATCACAGTCAATTGGTGACCAGAAATGGAGCTCTCCCTAGAGTCACACTCAGCTCTGACTCACCTCGTGCCTTCGTCTTTTAGTCTCACTATGCTGCATGCCAAATTATACTGTGTAAAGTGCACATTTCCCTACATCCTTTGTCCCTTGATCGTATAATGCAAACCTTTCATTTCCTTGGGAAAAATATGTGCCTCTGGGGCAACCCCCTACTTTTGATATGGTGCATCACAGCAGTGCCCCGGAAAGCACCTGAAAAATTCACCCCTCGCTCAGAGACCCGAAATACACAGGGTTCCGTTTTATCGCTGCTCCCTCGTGATATCCATGCAGAGGGGAAACTGGGAACAGCTAGACCGTGCATTTATAGTTCCATCTGGGGCCTTCAGAAGGTGGGTCTAGCAGAATAACAGAGTGTCTCTCTGTCCCATTTTATACTGAACAAAATCAACACAGGGTTACTTTATTTTTCCCACTCCCCTCTTACTCCAGACTGTGTAATCTTTTCTGCAAGTCTCCCTTAATGGCATGCTCATACTTCCCTGTCCTCAAGGTCAGCTCTAAATTCCTTTACAGCCTAACATGCATCAGCAACCACAAGGGGAGGGGGGGGTCAAAACAGGCAAGATGGCTGCCATGGCAGAGTGAGCTAAGTTCCACTTCCTTTGTACATGCGAATAATATTGATGCATGTACAAAGAGGGTGGCGCTTGATTTGTGATGACATATTTGCCATATTGCCCATTTTGATTTCCTCAGCATCACTGATACTGCTGTTAATGTTATCTTTTATTGGGAAACCTTTGGCCCAAAGGATCTGCCTGGATCAAGGAAGCTTTAAATTATCTGCACCTCTCAGGTTGCAACAGCCTTCTGCATTCATTCAGAGCAATATCAATCGTTGTTCTGCTAAATCTTGAGTTGAATCAACTACCAAGTTTGTTATAATTTTTAGCTTTTATTAAATATAATAAAAATAAATAGATGATTAAATAACTATGTCCTATACTGAAGATTTCATTATGGAGGTTGCAGTGCATTTGGTTTCCCACTAGAGGGCTCCCTTGTAACACCTTTTTTCAAGAACCTGCTGCATTATCAAAATTATACTTATACAATTATAAGTATAATTATACAAAATTAATACTTTAATTTTCTCCTTTCCTACATTAATTTGTCTATCAATTTTGCAATCTGTGGCTATTGCAAAAAGTCTGGGGCATATTCTAAGATAAATACTATCATATTGGTCTAGTTTGGGGGTCTGCATTGTGATGCTTGGAGTGGCAATGGACCCACAGATTTGCCCATCAGGCTCTTCCCCACTTCATTTTTTACGTTAAACACACACACACACACACACACACACACACACACACACACACACCTCTGTTTTGCTGCCAGGCAACCCCAGCCTCAAGGACCACTTTATTTCTCAAGATACGTCAGGTCCCAAATGAACCTCTAAACTTCTTTAGAAAGCCAAAAACCACTGATTTGTTTAAAAGTGTCCCCTACAGCCCAAGAAAAGGACAAAGAAAAAGACTGGATCCTTCAGATCTCTGTAGGTGTCTTTTGAACTCCAACCTTGAGCAGGCTTCCCCTATGCCAGTGTTGTCCAAACTTTTCCACTTTAAGATGAGTGGACTTCAACTCCTAGAATTCCCCAGCCAGCATGGCTGGCTGGGG